ATTAATGTATAGTTTACAAAGGTTTAATAAAGCACACCTAACTAACCTGACAGAGGGTTAATATAAAAAAAAAAAAACTAAGTATATTTCTGAAAGTAAAAATTTTCAATAGATTATATGTCTTCTTAGATAATATATAAAAAAAAATTAAGATCAAGAATAAATAAGATTGTTAGATAATTAGAAAAAAAAATATTATGATAAAATATTTTTTTATTAAAAAGATGTTTTGAGAAATAGATCTTTCTTTAAAAAAAGTTAAAAAAAAATATTTTTTTTTTGTCTTTTTTTTTTTTTTTTTTTTTTAATACCCATAGCTAGGCTAGATCATTAGTTTATTAATCAATTGAAAACAAAAGCATATTTTCATTCGAGCAGCATAATACATACTACAATTAAACTATTATTTTAATCTAACTAACTCATCATAAGCATAAAAGTCTTTAAGTTTGATCTTGGGAACAATATTTTGCTCTGTAGTGTTTTTAGGTATAGACACTCCTAATCTACTGCATTATTGTCAATAGGTTATCACTGCCATATATCTAACCAAGCCACTAGAATACAGAAAACAATAAAAGGATAGGTTGAAAAAAAAGATGTGGGGATGTTTAAAAATATCTAAGCAGACAACAAGAAAATGAAAGAGTAAAATTAAAAAAAATATTTCCAGCTTTCTCCAAAGATCTGTTTCTCAAGACCTTTTCTTAATAAGAAATGCTTGATTGGAATATCCTTTCTTTTTCTAACCATCTGAGGAACTTATTTATTCTTGATTTTGGTTTCTTTCCTGTATACCATCTAAGAATACTTATTGCTTAGTATAAGCCTTTACTTCCAGGACACACTTGGTTCCAACTTTTTTTGGGTAGTGATTTTTTATTCATCTGTGGTAGAGAGACAACTTACGATGAACCTCAGGTTCTTATGTGACCTAATAAGAACTAGACCATGTTGTTTCAGTAAGATACCTTCCAACAGCCATATCTAATTAAAGAAATTTTACTGATATACATTTTCTATTACTCAAAAGGCCAAATTTCCCAATAATATTTTTGCCTTGTAATAGTGATAGGGTAATAGTAGTAGTGGGGATTCTCATCAATTGCAATATTCTTTAATAACTTTTGGGGAAATACATTTTCAACTATAATTAAAGGATTGAAGTTTAGCATGGACTAGAGACCATTTGGTCTTATTGCCTAGTTGGGATAAAAAGAAGACCTTGGTCTTGAACTTTGCTTGACTGGTATAATAAGAGAGAAAGACCTCAGCTTAAACAAATAGCAACTTTTTTATCACCTGGGAACTTGTTGCTCATATCTTATTGATCTTATGATATTTAATCTATAGATTAATCCAATTAGAGAAATGAAGCAGACATGGGGCACCAATCAACTCTTTCTATTATCAATGACATCATCAGAACATGTGAGGTGACCAATAGAAGCTTGTTTACATTCAGTTATTAACATGTTTCATGTCAACCAATCAGATACCAGGTGATATTGTGCTACCAGAAATTCAGGGTTAAACTGAGGTAGGCAAAATCCCTAAGAAAACTGTGAAAAACGATAGATATTTTAAGAGGGTACAAGACAGTATGTGAGAAGATGGATAATAAGTCTTCCTCTGTCAATAAAACCTCTATTTCTTGTTGCTTCTAGTTCTGTAAGGTGATACTTTACTTGTCAGTCTTTTTACTTCCTAAAACTTTCTTGTCCTTAGTTGAGAAAATGCGTACTTGAGTCTTTTCAGGCCACTAGAGGCTCAAGTTTTTATTCAAAGGAGTTTTTAAACAAGTAAGGAAGGATAAAGGAAATATATAAAGACAAACTTCAAGTTGTTTTGATGAAAGTGTAAAGACTTTATTAGCAAAGAAGTATAAAACTTCTTGTGAACATCTTTTTTGTGTGTAATTAGAGGATCAGCATTATGATCAATAATTAGTAATTGAAAATATTTTTTTTTTGTCTTTTTTTATTTTCTTGTAATACATTTATACATTTTTAAATATCCTCTTCTCTTTTGTTTCAATTTACTTTTTTTGCAATTTTCTATATTCCAGCAATTTGATAGGATATATGGCAATAATAACTTTCTAGCAATGGTATATAAGCTAAAAGGATCTTTACCCAAAATTTATTACAGAGCAAAATATTGTTCCAAGGTTAAACTTAGAAACTATTATTGCCTAGGACAACTTAGTTAAATTTGATTAGAAAAGTTTAGCTATAGTATATACTATATATTGCTACTTGAATGAAAATATATTTATGTTTTCAATTGATTAATAAACTACAATCTAACCTGGCTACAAGTATGATAGGTGAGACGAAATTGTAAATATGATGTAAGTTTTGCAACAAAAAAAAAAAAAATAGATTAATCAATAAAGTATTTAAATGTAAATTAATAAATTATCAAAATAACTTAAGAATTTAATTACAGTATATTCGTTCGTAGGCTATAATTTACATTTATTATTTATTGATGTAATTATTTATAACGCATTTTTGAAATTATTACAAAATGTACAGACATTTAACTGACCAAAGTACCTGTGCGTGTTGTGCACGAATTACACCTATAAATTTTCCCGTCTCATCAAAATTCTCGATTATCCACTACATAGATAAAATTCAACTTTTATATTTACGCGATAAAATCCTACAATTATAAACTTCCAGAGTTCTTCAACACAACAATAACGATAATTATAACCAAAATGATTACGAGAACAATCCCAAAGCAATACCACTTTTTCCTCCTGGAAGAAATAGCTTTTGCAGTCGCTTTTTCTAGCTCCTTGTTAGAATGATCCATCTTCTCATCAGTATCCGCCACCCTATTATCAATGTTGATCATCGTCTCATCCTGAATCTCAACTTGCAGCTTCAACTCATTGAATAATCCAGCCAACTCTGCAATGGTCTGCTCGATTTGTTTAATATCATTATGTCGTCTTTGTACTTCTTCTAACGCATCCTTAGCTTCCCCCGTTCTCAACAATGCAGTAGCGAACACTGGTTGGTCAGATGGATTCCTAAGGTAAGTATCAATTTCGGTCTGTGTGGCTCCCGGATTTACCACTTTATATTGTCGGGCCATCCGCTCCTTCTGTTTTGTCATAAAATCAGTTTCAACTTCTCTATAAATCTCCAATGCTTTGGTGAATTTTTCCTTGACATGTTCTTGGCGTTGTGTGCGAACACTTATTTCCGGATGGTCGGGATTGTCCCTTTCAAGTCTTTTGTTGTTAGCTGTGAGTTTCTTAATACTTTCCTTCGTTTCGAGCAATAAATTTTTTGTATTGTACATAAGCTGGTTCCGTTCTTGTGATAGAGTAGATTCTTGAGCGGTAGCAACAGCTACATTGATTCTCGTTTGGATTTCCCGGATGGAAATAACGTTTTTTGTAATGTTGTCAATTTTTTGATCTATCAACCATGTCTCATTGAGGAATTGGTTATCGTTTACGTTTGTCATTTCAAATTGAAATATAAGAGTTGTATCGTGATAGCTATCGAAAGACAAGGCCGTGTGGCAATAAACACGCACGTCACTAAAAAAAAAATAAAAAATAAAATTGAAACAATCGGAATACGAATTATTAAATATTAAGAAGCCCGTCTGTATTCTACTAAGCAAAAAAATTTTCTGTTGATATCAAGAACACTTTGGTATTTTATTCAAGAATTGGTTAGTTGTCTACTTTCAATGTTTATTTATTACCGAAAAGGTTTATTAAATATACGGTACAAATAAGAAAAAAAAAGGTTAGTCGGTATCCAAAAATAACTTCAATGCAAGCAACAATTACCATGGAATATAAGAAAGGGAGACGAGGGGGACGACTTTGCTAATTATACGTATACTGTATATCGAAATTTTTTTTTTTTTTTTTTTTTTTTTTTTGAACAAAATAAATTGGCGAGTGCCTTCGTATTGTGCAATGAGCACAATCTTTGTATGTCACGTAAATTTCTTGCAACATACAAAAAAGGTCATTATTATGATCACTTGAACATGTACTCTCGAGTAAACCGATATTGGTAACTTTAATTCTATCAAATCTTTTTTTCATCAGTCATTGACACGGAATTGAATCCATAAAAATTCCGCATCCCTCCAAAAAATTTTGCATTCATGCGCATTACGTAATTCAATTGATGGATTTAGTTTGATTGTGCAAATGGACAGTTCATTATAGTGTTTTTACAGTATGTTGCATTAAAATTATTATGATTTTAGGGGTCGCAAAGTATAAAATTGGCTCTTTGCATATGAATTCAATGAATTCACGTGATTGAACATATATGCAGATGGGCAATATCTTGGTCCGAGAACGTTTGAAACCTTACTCCAAGCAATAAACTCGTGTCTTTCCATTGAGTAGCGCAAATGAAGTAATGTGCACAACTTATTTAGAACATGTGCTAATTGCAACAGAAATTCTCGCGAATTAATAACAGTAATCGCGCGCCCCTCGTAAGTTATTGAAATAAAGGCTTTCAATAATAATTTTTTCGATTTCACCATTTGAACATAATAATACTATAAACGATTTCGGCAATTTTTTTTTTCAATTTTGCGTATGCTAAAGACACTATCACCATTTGTGATAATTAACTCATGATCGGGAATTATCTTCATACTTGCAGCATTTCGTCCCTTATTTTCTTATAATAGAAGAATAGCCCCCTCTCGTTGGTGCAAATTTTTTGATCCAAGTATACTAATGCCGAATTCCGCGGGTGAACTAGTCCCTTCTATTCGATCATCCATATTTTACTGCATTTACAATATGTCGTGTTTTATATTACCCATTTCTATAATTAAAACATGCAAGATAATTATAAGTTGTCACGCAAGACCAAATACTCTGCAGATGTACTAAATTATAAAGATCATTCCAAATAAAGCTTTTGTAGAAGAAAACCTGCATCGATCTTGCATGATCAAATTAAATTTTCCATATTTCGAAAATTAATATAATGATAACAATGAATGTTATGGATGGAAAACTTTTTACTTTCATGGAGGGGGGGAGTTATTTGTTTAAATTAAAATCTTTATTCAAATGTCTATATACTGTAAATGGATAAGTTTATTCCTTTAACTATAAATATTTGCGTATTTATAATTATATGCATGATACAGTATATACAGTAAATAGAATCGTATTGCAATTGATAATTTACAATGATACAGTATATAAAAAAAATACTATATATTAAAATTAATTAATTAAATATTTATTGGAGTACAAAATATACTCAAGTGTTAAAATCTAAGTTATATTATATACTATATATATTTAATAAAATTTTTTATACTTTGAATAAAAGATTAAATAAATATCA